CAAACAAGCATCAACATATAAATATTTAAGCACTCCAAGATTATTTCCCCTACCGGATAGAGCGATAATTTATTTCAGCTTTTTATATAGCGTTTTTCTCTGCATTTTCCAGTTACAATGTGACAGCTGCAAGTGAAGGGTTAAAAATTATAATTCTTTTTTCTTGGTGGGAACCAAGAACGATTTTATTTTTGTGCGTGTGCATGGGGGAGGGGGAGCATGTTCGTGTGGGTCCTTATCAGCCTACGGGGCTCCGCCAGTGTTGTTTCAAAATCTTATCCAGTTAATGAACATTTAAAAGTTGTGGTATTTCTTTGGTAATTAAACTCTCTAGATGGTCTTAAAGATATTAAACAGAATATCTTGATATTTTATTGACGATATTAATAATTTTAAACCAGGTATGGATCGTAGCATTTTTTGACCTACTGAATAAGAAGAAATCCACCTTTAGCTCATTCAGCATGTTCTGTTAAGAGTTCTTTATTTACGAGTGTATAGTCATTCAGATATCTCACATAAGGGTCCTAAGGGTAGCACCAGGTGATTACACTCAAACTGTTCACCTCTTTGTCTGTATATTTATAGTCGGTTATCATTAACCAATTGTCAAGTTTCCACTCAGCTGCTTGTATATTTATAGTCGGTCATCATTAACCATTGTCAAGTTTCCACTCAGCTGCCTGTATATTCATAGTCGGTCATCATTAGCCAAATGTCAAATTTCCACTCACTGCTCTCCGGATTTATACTAAGCAAAATGGTGCCGAGCGTATTTAAATGCCATGTATGGCTTATGGATACGAGCCTTTTTAAAATATCCACATTTATATAGCTTACGATGCTCTAACACAAATATGAATGACTTCTGTACCAGTCTGTCATATCCCAGCCGGCCTCATGAGCCCTGATATTGGGAGAGGCCTTGCAGGCACTGAATATAGCAGATATAGTGCGGCGTGTAGTCTTGTTGTAGAATCAAGTTCTGATGACATGCATTATTACACAACTTAGAAAACATTTATATTGATATAAGCTATAACTCATTGGGATATTCCCTAACTTTCTGGGTAATTCCTATCTTCACCCAAGGACTCAACAGAATTTTTTGTTTGTCAAAATGTGGTATTATGATTACTATATGATTAGTACAATCATATAAAAAAACAACAAAAAAGCTGTGTTGTTAAACAACCTTCTTGCAAATGATTTCCAAAACTGTGTTGCTAACTGTCATCTTTTTTAAAGAGTTTAAAGTATATTTTGGGAAAATATTTTAATAAATATTATCCAATATTACTTCAGCTTATAACTTTGTATGTATGTATGTGCCACATTATAGCTCAGCGGTAAGTCTGAGAGCTAGTACCGCTAAAAATCAGGTTTATAACCGCGGTGAACAGACCACAAATTGCACATTATGTAGCTTTGTGCTTAACAACGAACAAATACACGAAATTATCTCTGTATTTTTGTCCAGCTAACTCCTCCTACGCATCCACCTCACCCCCAGTGGCACAGCGTTAAATCTGCCGACTTATAATGCTAGAAACCGGATTTCGATACTCGTTGGGGACACAGCACAGATAGTCCATTGTGTAGCTTTGTACTGAACTACAAACAAAAAAACACCTTCCATACAATTTTGGAGCTAGCAGGACCAAAGTTAGCAGACGGACTCCGGGTACGCTAGGGTGTGTCCTAATCTATATAGCGTAGTCCCTTTGTTATGCAGGTTAAAACATCGCCCCCCCCCGAAGGTCACGTCGCTGAACATAAATATGGAAACGAATATAGTGTTCTGGTCCCCTGGGAATCCCGGGACCGCCATGTTTGAAACTGTGTTCATACTCTTGCTCTCAAGCAAGCGAGATCCAATTTGCGCTCGTACTCAGGTATCACGGGCGAAAGTCCTAACCGGTTTCTTTTCGAGTACGGACTTATTTCTTGAGTTAGCTATAAAAGTAGCTGGGGAGGGGGGGGGGTAACGAAGGTACTTTACCGATACATTGAGTCCTCTGTGAATCATGAGGCACACTTTGAATGAAGCCTTCAGCGAAGCTCGGATGTTTTATGTTAGTTAGCACCAACTAAACTAAATAAACAGTTATGTCAGTTACGCCTTCTTTAAACCATTGTACTCAATAACAACCATTAAATTGTATTATGATATTATGTACTTCTTGTCTGTCTATTGTATAGATCCTGCAATTGGGGGGGGGGGCGGTAAGCTTACGGATGTACAACGCTAAAAACCTAAAGACCAATACTAGCTGTAGAAATAACGCAAATATCCCAGTGTGTGTGGCTTTACGCTACAATAAATAAAATTATATAAAATTATCTTCATTGCATATAAATTCCTTTTAACATCTGGTTTACATGGACAGCCGACGTTTTCTGATGAGCAGTTATAAGTAATTATGTACTTTAAATCAGTTTGTTATATAGAATTAGATTAATTCATTTATATGTTCTAATTGTAATCTATACTGTTAGATTACTTCCGCTTAGAAGTTAGTAATAATTGCACAAGGAAACTACAGTTTCAGCTAATTGTTTAATAGTTCAGTGCCATTATTTTACTGAAGTAATAAGTGTTAGATAAGATTTTGAAACCTTTTCGTCAGAAAAGGGATATTGAAAAGATCTTTCAGTTTCTTGGAAGTATTATTATTGAAAAACAGAGTGTTTTCCTCATTAACTCTGTCCGTACCTGGCCTGGTAACTGGCATGCCAAACTGACTGTCTGAGGGTCCATGATTCGTGTCTCTTTGCCGCCAAATCGCGTTCCTCACTTTACGGCCATGGGCTCGTTATAAGAATGATCGTGAGATCTATACTGTATTAGAGTAATTCAATATTTGACGGTGGGAGCTGTTGACTGGCTGCCTTTCCTCTAATATATCAGTTAATAATTAGGGCCAGCTAGTGCAGATATTCCTCGAATACCACTTTGTATATATCCGTAAATATTATTATATCATGAAAATTCATGCGGGTTATTGAAGAGTACCATCTCAGTCTGTGAATAACCTATATAAATATCTTGAATTATTACAAATTAAAAGTAACTTGGTAATATATATATATATGTGTGTGTGTGTGTGTGTGTGTGATATTACCTAAGCTCAATAACAAAGAAAGAAATTGCTTAAAAAGGCAATCTATTGAACTTGTTTGTTTGTTTGTTTTGAATTTCGCGCAAAGCTACACGAGGACTATCTTCGCAACCCGTCTCTAAGTTAGCAGTGAAAGACTAGAGAGAGGGCAGCTTGTCATCACCACCCACCTCCCACTCTTGGGCCACTCTTTTACCAACGAATAGTGGGATTGACCGTCACATTACAACACCCTTACGACTGAAAGAGCGAGCATGTTTGGTGTGACGGGAATTCGGACCCGCAGATTGCGAGTCTAGCGCCCTAACCACCTGGCCAATCTATTCAATGACCATCAAGAGTACCTCAGTGAGAGTTACCACATATGGTTGGAATCACCTGACTCTACTGAAGGTAGGAGATTCTCTTCTAGATCCTGCTCTACGCAATATTGTTCTGAGTAAACTGAAGCAACTTGCCAAAAGGTGTAGTTGTGGAAGTGTTATTTCTCCGACACTGAGCAGCTGTAAGGCAAAACACGTGTTTCTTGAAGTGCGGAATGGTTCGTACAGTACGTTTCCCAGGGCGTCGGGAAGATCTAAGAAATGCGAAGAGAAACGAAAATCTCAAAACGTGGTTAGGGCCACACACACGTTGCAATGTCTCTTTTCAACGATAACACACATTCATAGTCCCTCTATTACTCGTCGGTCCCGGTACAACGGGTAACGCGTGGCCAATAAAATAGCGGCGGGAGATCCTGAAGACAACGACCGTGTCTTGTCGGTATCTGACTGAAATGCATTAAATTCACAGTTAAGAGCAGAAGAAATCCAAAACCAAAACAATTCGTTGAAGTTTGAGAAGAGCCGTCCTGGTCTTCACAAAATAAAACATGTGACAGCCCCGACTACACCACGTGGTTAAGTCATGTTCGTTCTTAAGACTTTTCCTCAGATTCTAACATTGACTCCTGTTTGTTTAGTGATAATGCACTGCCTGGTTGCTATGGT